AGTCTGACAGTAAAAATTTAATCCACAGACCTTGTAAACAGCCAGATGACACACATTTTATAAAACCTTAGGTTTATTATGTGACCCTGTGGGACAGTAATATACTTTTATACAGACTTCAATAATGAGATTTTGTTTTAAAGAATAGTTCTAACACATGCATCTCTGGAATATTTTTTCCAGTTTTATTTTATCTCTACTTATTTCCCCTGAATTTGTCATGGTTTTCTTGTTTTGCACATGACTGAAAGAAGAAATGTCATTTCAAGTAATATTGCTAACTGTGGAGCTGTATATATTACTGATAGTCAAAGTTATTTTTAATTGTGAATGGGCCTGATGAAAATGCTAATCTGCTCTCATGAAATTAGTATTTGGTTTGGTTGGCTAGAAATGTGATAATTTGTTAACTATTGTATAAAAATTATGTTGTAAACCTTCTGAAGCATTCTTGAGACATTTTACTAGGTGTTACAGGTAGTGCAACACATTTTCTTATGTATTTTCTACATCTGCAACAATAATCAGACATGGTGCATAAAATGATATATTTCATAGTGCCAGTTCGTGGACTAGTTCATTTGTTACAGCAGCAGATATTGGTGTCTCAGTGCCTGGCATTTAAAAGGAGGGTGTTCTGGAGCTCAAGGATAATGTGATGAATAAGTCAGTGGAAAGTTTGGAACCCTGTAGAGATGAAAAATCGAAGGATAAGACACCCTTTAAGAGGATTACTTTTATTTGGTATTTGTAAAATATATCTTGGAGACAGAAGTCCTCTATCCACAACTTGCAGGTATTTCACTACCACCCTACTTAAATGAGATTGAATGCTGAGACTTTCACAAGTCATGCCATCACAACTCCGTGGTGTTGGGTGTTGGAACCTTTTTGACAAAGTATTTATTCACCTGGCTATGTACTAACAGCTTACTGCTTGAAACGTGCTACTGACCTCAGGTCAGTATCTAGAAGTTGTGGCTTTGGTTTGGTTAACATAGGTCTAAGGCATTATGCTGTCCCAAGTTCTTTAATCATTCAAGCAACTAACTCATATCCACAAGTTGTTTTGTCCTAGATTTGGAAAAAGAGAAAGAATGGGTTAGGGTGGAATATATTTTTGGAAGATTAAAGCAACCCTGTGTTCCAATTTGGATACTCTAAAAATGAAAGAGTTTCTTTCTTTTTATAATGATATTATCTACTAATTGTAGAAAATTAAAACATCAAAGAAAGTTCTAGAGAACAAAGCAAAAACTCTGTCAAATACCACTGTCCACTTTACTGCGAAAACCCTCCTCAGTGTTTTGTAGAACATCTTCCTAGACCCTGTTCTATGTGAGTATGAATGTGCCATAAATGGTATTCTACTATATAATGCTTTGCATTTGGCTTTTGACACTCAAAATATGTTATGGAGACTATTCCATATCAAAGAAAAAATATATTTAATAGTCACTAGAATTTAGTTAACTAGGTTTATAACTGTCAATGGGAATTAAAAAAAAATTCTTTACTTTTAAAAAACAATTGTGCAAAGGGGGCTTCCCTGGTGGCGCAGTGGTTGAGAGTCCGCCTGCCGATGCAGGGGACACGGG